GGCGTTTCTCTCGTCGATTCTCCGCTCCAACGGAAATGTCGGGTGTTGTTTTGGCAAAGGAACGTGGCTGGACGATTTTAACTATCTGCAGGATAGTGCGTAACCGGCGCAGGTCAACATTGCCCTTCGCTGGATTAGAGCTCAGTAGCCTTCTTGCGCCTTCAGAATGCTAAACTGGCCCAGGTCAAACTTGCCCTCCGCCGGATTAGAGTTCTTCAAGAATTATGGCACAACTTGCTTTCTAAAATCGCCCGCTTTTCATTCAACATTCCGAAGTAAAGGTTTTGACGATTGATTAGCGCATCGAATCCCTTCGCATTTCCTTGAAATATGTGTTCTTTCCAAATATTTCCTCATTTTGCAACCCTATTCACAGATTAACGTTTATTAGGTAGATACAATTCTTGTTACTCTAAAACGTTATAGATTTGTGATTATAAAGTAACCAAAAATAAGCATTGATCAAATCCCCCCACACTTAAGGGTTGCTTGTCCTCAAGCAATTTCATAATTACTTTTGGGGGTAAATTTTTGAAGAATTTCAAAAGTTAAATTATCCAAAAATTATTTCTAAAAGAATTTAGAAATTTATGAGATAAAGTCAAAAATAAGTGTGAAAAATTTTTAAAATGAATTCAGGCGAAGCAAAGAAACACCAAAAGTAAGGAAACACCCCCCACACTTAAGACACATTGTCCTCAATGGGTGGCAAAAGGGTAAAAGAGAAAAAGTGGTTCCAACTTCCCTTGGCATGCGTTGTCCGAAAGCGTCTGCAATTTAAGAAATCATCACAAGGAAAAACTTCAGACAGTAACTGTAAATAAAGTTAATGTGAGACAAGAGTAGCTTCAAGGATTTCCATTTTCTCCGTCATTGGTGTCTTGTCGTCGTCCAGGCATATGTGGAATGTTTTGGGAGTCACCCCAATAGCGTAAATAGTAGAGCACTTTGTCCATGTTCACCTCAACGTTACCCATGCGCTCTCTCAAGCCGTCAACCGCTATGTTCAATTGATGTATTGATTGTTGGATTGTATGTCGGGGCCTTGGACGACGGACTTCCGGAGGAACCTCATCATCCTCGTTTTCATCGCCATTATCATCATCGTTGGGAAAAACCTCATTCCGGCAAGCAAATGTGTGCTCTCCTTGCTCGGAATCGGGTGGGAAAATGATGATCTCTTCGTTGGGTTCCGGTGTGCGATGGAAAACGGGGTTGATAGTCCAAGTGCTTCCTGTATAGTGGTACCGGAGTGTTTGCATTTTTTGATGGTCCAAGACATCACCTTGGTTTGTCAATTTCCGTTCGGTATCACTAGTGTCAACCCCATGGTTTACGAAAATCTATGATAGGAGCACTGGGAAGACGAAGTTTTTATCCGGGCGATTGGAGGCGACAACATCATGAATGCATCGTAGGATGAGTGGGGCAAGTGCAATGCGCTCTGGGCGTCCGAGACCAAAAATCATCTTGTCGGCAGGGTAAAGATCGCTAATGCGGATTTCGTTAAGACCACTCGCCCGAGGTTCAATGTTGAACCCAAAAAGGTAGATGAGCAAACGGGCCCGGATCCATCTTAGTCCCAAATCACGGACACGCATGTCACTGCATCCAAATTTAGTTTTCGTCGCCTCAATGTCATAGTTGTGATCATCGGCGACGAAACCGTTGCGATTGATTGTGTAGGTGAATGGTGCGCGCGGATCTCTAAGGTTTAGAAATTCCCGTAGATAGTCGAGTGTGAGAGTGATGGGGGTGCCGCGGACCGAGCTCTTCACCATTCTGGATTTCTCTTCTTTGTTGAGGATGTTGGCGTAGAACTCCCGAACAAGGTCCGGAAAGTATTCGCCTGAAAGAGTGAGCATTCTCTCCCATCCCACTGAGCGGAAAGCCTCGGTAAGACGGAAGACACGGTCGATATCCGGGTGTATAATCTTCTCCACGACTAGGTTCTTTTCTTTTCGTAGCTCATACCAACTCTCATGGGCTTTCTTTGTGAAACGTGCGGGTTGGCTAGAAGAGGAGTCATCATTGAGACGCTTTCGGGGTGCCATAGCCCTGTAAGAAATGTTGTTGAAATTAGTTCGGACCGAATGGAACCCCTATAATTTCTAGAAAAATTTGGCATGCCCTTCCCGTAAATTGATGAAAAACCCAAAGATGATTGGTAAGTAAAGTAATCACAACCCCAATATTCAACCTCTTGATAAAAAAAGAACAATTCAATCAAGGGAGTCAAATTTTCGCACAAAGGGAAAATGGGGCTAGGGTTTTTGAGATTTTCAAATTCAACAAATTGGGGCTCAAAAACATGAAATTGGCAATCAACATACATTAATAAACAACCATTAACAACTAAATTAGCACACAAGAACAAGAAATTGAAAAAATATATTTGAAAAGGGTTCGAAATTGGAGGGGGGGATGAAGAAGGGGAAGAGAAAGGGAGGAAAAAGGAATGAGGAGAGAGAGAGTTACCTGGGCGAGGAGGTCGGGAGGAAGATGAGTGTGAGAGATGATCAAAATCGGCGAGAAGAGAGAAGGCAACGCACGGAGAAAAGAAAAAAAAACGGCGATGGATATTAAAAACACGGAAATCGGCGAAGGGCAATGGTGCCCTGCGCCGGATTGAAGCTCAGCAGGGTTTAGAAACTAACGTGACACTAAACCAGTGAAGGTCACTTGTGCCCTGCGCCGGATTAGTGTTTGGGTTGCTTATAGTAGCCTACTGGAACGTAAAACGGTGAAGGGCAAGACTGCCCTGCGCCGGATTAAAGTCTGGGTTTGCTAAAAAGTTGAAAAATGATATACTACAAACACTTAAGGCACATAAAGAAAAAAAAATAAAGACCGATAAAATTGAAAGGATGTTGGGTTGCCTCCCAATTAGCGCTTAGTTTAACATCATAGGCCGGACGATACTCCCTTTTAGTCGGTGAGATTGGATGAGCATGTTCCCTTGGTGAACTCGTGCATAAGATACGGCTTCAAGCGTTGTCCATTCACAAGAAAAGGTGGTTGATCCTCCTTTTGGATTTTTACGGCTCCATAAGGTGTGACTTCCGTCACGGTGAATGGTCCCGACCACCGGGATTTGAGTTTTCCCGGAAATAGTTTGAGCCTAGAATTGAAAAGCAGCACTTTTTGACCAATATAAAACTCCTTTCGGATGATATGCTTATCATGCCATGCCTTGGCCTTCTCCTTATAGATACGAGAATTCTCGTATGCATCTCGCCTTAATTCTTCAAGCTCATTCATGTGGAGTAGTCTTCTTTCTCTTGCAAGTTTTTTATCGAAATTGAGCCTTTTGATTGCCCACAAAGCCTTGTGTTCAATTTTGACTGGAAGATGACATGCTTTCCCGAAGACTATGCGGTATGGAGACATTCCAATCGGCATTTTGTATGCCGTTCGGTATGCCCATAGAGCATCATCAAGCTTGAGGGACCAATCCTTTCTTGAAGTATTCACCGTCTTCTCAAGAATCGATTTGATTTCTCAGTTCGAAACCTCCACTTGCCCATTCGTTTGAGGGTAGTAAGTGGCTCCAATCTTGAAAGTGCACCCATATTTGTGCAAAAGATTCTTGAATAGTGAGTTTTTGAAATGGGTGCCATTATCACTTATTATGCTCCGGGGTACGCCAAAACGGGAAAAAAATATTATGCTTCACAAATTTCACCACTGAAGCGGCGTTATTGTCGGACAAGGCGACAGCTTCAACCCATTTTGAGACATAGTCCACTGCCACAAGAATAAAGGTTTTCCCAAATGAATTTGGGAAGGGACCCATGAAGTCTAGCCCCCAAACATCAAATATATCAACAACAAGAATCATGTTCTGAGGCAATTCATTTCGGCGAGAGATATTACCCGTGCGTTGGCACCGGTCACAAGCTAGCACAAAGCTCCTAGTATCCTTGAATAAGGTAGGCCAATAAAAACCACATTGCAAAATTTTTGCAGCGGTTTTGTCGGCTCCATGATGTCCTCCGCAAGGTAGAGTATGACAATGATTGAGAATAGACATCATCTCTTCATCCGGAACGCACCTTCGAATAATCCCATCAGCACATTGGCGGAATAGATAGGGTGTAACGCCACAAAATATGGCCTAAAATTTATTATAAAACAAAAGTAAATTCTGTCCAATAAGGAATATTTATACGTTTGACCAAAAATAAATGGACTTTCAAAATAATGACTTTTTGTTAAAAACTTATTTTTATGGATAGGTCTCGAAGAGAAGACTCCAACGGTACATTTTATGAATCAATCTGATTTATAAATTTCAAGTTATGACAATTTTAAATATTAAAATTTGTAACTTTGACCCATAAAAATAAACTCAATTCAAAAGAGATTTCTTAAGATTAGAAATCTAAATCTTTGACATTTGACAACACCATATTTATCATTTGAATTAAATTCATATATTTTTATATCATTTATATTATTAAATTAATTTATGACTGAGACAGACCCGAACACTGAGAAAAATAAAGGTTCTCAGAAAAATATTTTGATTATGTCAAAATTCTAGTTTTGACAGTCTCATTCCAAAAACACAATCCGTTTTCCATTCAGAGCAGTTTGGGCGAAAAAGCGCGTACCGTTTGGAATAAACTGTTCAGTTTTGGCAAAAAGCCAAAATTTAAATTACCAAATCTCTTCCAAATCACGGACCAGCCCCTCCTAGCCTCACTTTTGCTCCACTAGCCACCTAAAATCTCTCCCTACATAATACTTCCAAAGTATTATGTTATAATACTCCACCACCACAATTATCTTCATTATCATTATGTTCCACCATCATCACCATCATCTCACCTCTCCCCTCTCCATTCTCTCACTGTCGGCAACTTCAAGGAGAGAAGAAAACACCCTCCTCCATAGATGGTTCAAGGAAGAAGAAGAAACAAGAAGAAACCATCCATAGTTTCCAAATCATGAGTTCCAAACGCAGCATCAACTTCTACGTAAGTTCTGTAATTTTCCATCCATTATCTCGGAATACCTTTTGAACTAAAGTTGTAGCTCCGGACGATACGAATCCAACCCAACAAACGGCTCGCGATTTCGTTAAGTAACGGAGAAGATATGGCCAAAATACCGGGACTGCGCCAGTGGTGGCGAGCTCCTCGGGTTGGCATGTTTTTCTTCACCAAAATTCATATTATTTCATCCCAAATACTTACCATAAACTCTCTAACAATTATTAGGAACATCTGGAAGGTATTGCAAAGAAAGTTCAGCGTTGGAATGTTGAAGTTAGTGAGTTAATCGTCGGAATCATGTTCATCGACATACCCGAAATTTTGGACAGCAACTTTCTATTGACTTCAGGTCCGATTTACGCTATCTTACATATGTTAAAACGAAATACTTTCTATACGAAAGTTGTAGCCACAGAATCAAACGGTTTTCAATTTCGTGAAGAAACGATGGAGATATGCCCAATTTACCGCAGGTTGTCCAGTTGTGACGGAAATGACAAAGTTGGCAAATTTCGATGTTGTTTCCACTTCCGCTCATCCGTAAGGTTTCGGCCGATGATTTCCAGGTCTGTACCCTTGCGTTAGACTTGTTGAATCATTCATCACATACATACATGAACATATATGTTATTCCATATGTTAAAACCATTCCAAAATATATATGTGATGCATATATAAGTTATCTATATGTTGAGATCAAAATAAACCAAATCCATAAAGTTAATATACACATAAGTAAATATAAACTTTGGAAATCAACCCAACAATATGTTAATCAAAGGTGCTTAAAAGACTTAAAGAAGTATTTTGGACACTCAAAATATCAAGAGAAAGATTCGCAGACCCAAACGGTCGATGCAAACGGTCGACCGTCGCGTTAAACATCCAAATGGACCCCGACTGTCAGACAAACGGTCGACCGCCGGTAGCCAACGGTTGACCGTCGCCTGTCCAGCCAAGTGCCGCCGTCCACCTCCAGTCAACAACGGTCGACCGTCGGTCAACCGCGGTCGACCGTCACGGTGATCCGCCAATCCGACCTGATGAAGACCAAGGTCGACCGTTCCGAGCCCCGTAGCTTAATTAAATGATATTTTAATCATGTTTCATCCAAATAAACTAATGCATGATTATATATTCATATCGTTTACAAATTGTTCATGTCATATCATTCATTTCATCACACATATTGTAGCATATCATATCATATGCATGCGTAAGAGATCATGCGTAATTGTGTCTCTTATAGCGTGATGTGCGGGACTTACTAGTCCGACATCACCCATTCCAGGCTTAGTGTACGTACATGGTATTCAGGTTTCTAGTACCACCCCTAATTTTCTAGTCTCACCTCATTCGTGGGACTAAGGCCGCGTGAGTTCGTCGTACCAAATGGGCGAATCTCATAGCGCAAGGGTGTCCTTGCAAGTTATAGGATCATGCATCATGTTATCATCATCAAGAACAATTATATTGATTACATAGGTGTCATGTAATCATCATCAAGAACAATTATATTGATTACATAGGTGTCATGTAATCTTCATCAAGAATAATTATATTGATTAAATATGCCATCAGGTAATCATCATTAAATATCCACCATCATAAATCATCAAATTGAACATATGATATAATGTGCCATATCATGAATATTATTATACATTTTATGGACGTATATATATGTATATGTATATGTCTATGAATTGTTCTACAATTCTAGCGTGGTACCACTCAGCGGTTTCGCTGAGCGTGTAGTTTGTATTTTTTGTTGACTACACGTAGGTAACAAGAGGACAATGACGGAACCACTTCCGGAGGGCATTGAGTCAGAGGAGATGCAAGGATGGCAGGCAAATGTTGATCATCAGATTTTTAAATGTGTCATGATTTGATTATTATTGTACTTCCGCATTACTCTGAAAATATTTTTTAAATGGGTCGCGATTCAGAGTCTGTAAATTTAATATTTATAAGTAATTGTCATTTTCAAATGTCAAGCAAAATTTTTTTAACTCTCGTTTCACCTTAATTCGTGTAATTCCGGGTTATACGGATTGGGGTGTTACATAGGGATCATCCCAATAATATTTCTTCACATCTCGGAAAAACTTTGATTTCTGGTAAGATGAGAGCTCCGGTGGTTCAATTCCCGTAGCAAGATAGTTTATAATGTCCGAGAACCATGGCAAGTGTACTCCTTCTACCTTCATGGTAAACTCATGAGGAAAATCATCACGAATAACTTCGGGTTGAGTAGAAGAATGGTGCTCTACCCGTGAAAGATGATCGGCCACTAGATTCTCACTTCCTTTCTTATCTTTTATCTCGAGATCAAATTCTTGAAGAAGTAAGACCCAACGAATTAGTCTTGGCTTGGCATCCTTCTTTTGCATGAGATATTTGATGGCGGAGTGATCGGTGTACACAATGACTTTTTGGCCAATCACATAAGAACGGAATTTATCACAAGCATAAACAACGGCCAAAAATTCCTTTTCGGTGGTGGCATAATTGAGCTCAGCATCATAGAGTAGCCGACTAGCATAGTAGATGACATGCAACTTTTTCTCCTTTCGTTGACCCAAAAAAACGTCAAGTGCATAGTCACTTGCATCGCACATGAGCTCAAATGGGAGTGACCAATCCGGAGAGGTGATTATGGGAGCCGAGATGAGTGCCTCTTTGAGAGTGTTGAATGCCTTGAGGCATTCATCGGTGAAATTGAATTCCACATCTTTGGCCAAAAGATCACACAAGGGTTTGGAAATCTTCGAGAAATCTTTAATGAATCGCCGGTAGAAACCGGCATGACCAAGAAAGCTTCGAAGGGCTTTGACAGAATGAGGTGGTGGTAGCTTCTTAATAACCTCAATTTTTGCTCGGTCCACTTCAATTCCTTGAGGTGACATTTTATTCCCAAGAACTATGCCCTCGGTAACCATGAAGTGGCATTTTTCCCAATTAAGTGCAAGGTTTGTTTCTTTGCACCTAGTAAGGACTTTCTTCAAATGTTCAAGGCACATATCGAACGAGTCTCCATAGACCGAAAAGTCGTCCATGAAAACCTCCATCATATCTCCGATTAAGTCCGTAAAAATGGAGGTAACACATCTTTGAAATGTGTCAAGAGCATTGCATAGGCCAAATGGCATCCTCCGGTAAGCAAATGTCCCATAGGGACACGTGAATGTAGTCTTCTCTTGATCTTCTGGAGCAATGGCTATTTGAAAATAGCCGGAGAAACCATCTAGAAAGCAATAGTATTCATGACCCGCCACTCGTTCAAGCATCTTATCAATGAAAGGAAGAGGATAATGATCCTTCCGGGTACCATTGTTGAGCTTCCGGTAGTCAATGCACATTCGCCACCCCGTGATGGTTCGAGTTGGAATTAACTCGTTCTTGCTATTTGTCACCACAGTCATCCCACCTTTCTTTGGGACAACTTGCACCGGGCTCACATAGGAACTATCCGAGATGGGGTAGATAATGCCATAATCAAGTAGTTTGAGTACCTCTTCTTTGACCACTTCCTTCATGTTAGGATTTAGCCTTCTTTAATGCTCAATGGTTGGCTTGTGATTCTCCTCCATGAGAATTCGATGCATACAAAGAGAAGGGTTTATCCCTTTAATATCCGTCAAAGACCAAGCAATGGCCTCTTTATGTTCCCTCAAAATTCTCAATAATTTTTCTTCTTGAACTTGAGTAAGGGTGGATGAAATGACAACCGGGAAGGTGGACTCTTCTCCCAAAAAGGCATATTTAAGATGAGTAGGGAGGGGTTTGAGAGTTGGCTCTGGTGGTACCTCTTTCGATGGGCGTAGAGTAGATTTCCGGGCACCAAGATCTTCAAACTTTGGTTGCGGTTTGTGGTAGTAGCCATTTCCATGGAGATACATGGCTTGTTGGCGAAGCTCGACATTTTCTACGTCCTCTATGCACCCAAGCATAAGACATGTTTCAAGAGGGTCATCAAGAAATTCATAATCGAATACCTCTTGAGCTAGAGAATTAATGACATCAACTCGATAGGATGTGTCATCATGATGCATCTTCAAAGAATCCCACACATGAAATTCTTGCTTTTCATTTCCCACCCGGAATTTGACAACTCCGGATTTCACATCAATGACGGCGGCGGCGGTAGCTAGGAAGGAGCGCCCTAGGATGATAGGCACTTCCATTTCTTCCATGTCAAGCACAAGGAAATCCACGGGAAGATAGAATGTCCCAACCTTCACAAGAACATCTTCCATTACTCCAATAGGATAGCGAATTGATCTATCCGCCAATTGTAGTGCCACCGTGGTGGGTTGGAGTTCCCCCACTCTTAGCTTCTTGAAGAGGGAATGTGGCATAAGATTTATGCTTGCTCCATGGTCACACAAGCAACGTATTTCTCCAATATTCCCAATGGAGCATGGAACCGTAAAGTTGCATGGGTCACTAAGTTTTGGAGGTAGTTTATTTTGAATGATAGCACTACACTCCTTCGTTAGTGCTACCGTGGCAAATTCACCTAGCTTCTTCTTGTTTGAGAGGACACCCTTAAGAAATTTTGCATACGAGGGTATTTCCGCAATAGCCTTCGCGAAAGGAATATTGATGCTTAGTTTGGTGAACATCTCCATGAACTTCTTGTATTTCTCCGGGTTTTCCTTCTTCTTCAAACGTTGAGGATAAGGAATTGTTGGAACATAAGCATCGGGATGCACCTCGGGGAGGACGGGGGCTGTTTTGGTGCTCCCTTCCGGGGTAATCTCTTCTTTATTTGAAATGCTTTGGGGCCACGCTTCGGGCTCCTTGAGTTGCTTTCCACTCCTAAGAGAAATAGCCATAGCATTCTCCCTTGGGTTTACCTCTGTGGTGCTCGGAAGTCGGCCTTGTTCTCTTTGAGACCTTCCCGTGGCTAATTACCCCATTTGAACTTCCAAATTGTGTATGGAAGTCTTCGTGTATTGCTCCAATGTATCCATCCTTTGATTAAGCTTCATGTCAAATTTTGTGAATTGACTATGAAGATTGCTTATGGCGGTCTCTGTGCTAGCTTGATTTTGCTCAATTGTTGATTGAAATTTGGCAATTTGTTTGGTGAGCAACTTGATGGGATCCTCGGAAGATGATGATGGTTCCTCCTTCCTCGACTCATAGCTTCTAGAGAATCCGGGGGGCAAAAGTGGAGCATTGTTACTTCCTCCTTGAGCGTTCCAATTTGAGTTACCCCAACGTTGATTTTGAGAATAATTGTTGCGTTGGGGTTTCCCGTAGGAACCCATGTAGTTCACATCTTCAATCTCGGTGATAGGACCATCAAGAGTGCCTACTTGGTTGACTTGGCTTGGGCCTTGGTTTCCCAAGACCGCTCGGAGTGCACTTTGCAGTTCACTTTGCATTGTAGACTTCAACTCCGTCATCCTCCGGTAAAACATATTGTTGAGAGCAACCTCATTGATTGAGGCTATATTGTCACCGGTTCGGAGTGTAGGATTTGAAGTGATAGACTCGATGATTTCCCAAAGTTCTTCCTCCGTTCGATTTCCCATGTAGCCATCACAACGGTTGTCGATGATGGCTTGGAATTGAGGACTTATTCCTTGATAAAAGAAATCCACTTGAAGGTCAAGTGGAATCCGGTGGTGCGGGCAACTTCGAAGCAAGGCTTTGTATCTCCTCCATCTTCTTGAAATGTCTCTCCGGGTTTGAGCCGGAATGAGTAGATTTGCTTTCGGAGGTCTTGAGTCATATCCGGAGTGTAGAACTTGAAGGTGAAAGTGTCATACATAGCATTCCACGTGGCATAGGCTCGTGGTGTCTGCTCAATAAACCACGCCTTAGCGTTCCCTCGCAAGGTGTATGCGAAGAAACGCATCTTGAGATCATCGTCCGAGATGCCATGTCTCGGAATGCCTTGGAGAAATGCGTCGAACCCCGTGATGAAGAAAAGTGGATTCTCACCGGAGTTCCCATGGAATTGAGGGAGCCCGTTGATATATCCATTCTTCACTTCATAATCTCTAGCCGCATTTGAGAGCACGATGCAAGAAGGGGTGTCGGGAACCACCGGTCTCTTTCTTTGATTAAGAGTGAGAGCGGGTGGGGGACGCTCTTCTCGTCTTCGATTGTCATTTTGTCGCTCAACTTTGCGGTTGTCAACATCCATTCTTTGGATTCTTCTAATGGTACGAACGGTTCTTTCTATCTCCGGGTCAAATGTGCCAAGATTGTGAGAACCTTGACTTCTCAATCGCATAAAACTCGGAGATTCCTACACGAATCAAAGAGAAAATGCAGTGGTAAAGAAGAAAAAAAATACAGGATTTTTGACGAAATAAAAAACAACAAATTGGACCAAGTCCCCGGCAACGGCGCCAAAAACTTGATCGCAGGTATTTTGCAAGTATACAAAAGCCGTATGTAGTAATAAAATCGGTAAGACCGGGTCGATTTCCACAGGGACTTGGTAAATAAATTGTGCTTTAAAGAGGTGTGTGAAGGAGTGTAAAAACGCAAGAAATTAGGGCAAGAGATGAGGTACCGAGGAGTTCGGGACTAGCCAATTATAATATCTACTAA